CTGTGACCGTGCCGCAGCACGTGCCTCTTCTTCTGTGTCAGTGTAGTCAAAGCTCAGTACGTGTCTGCTTCTGAGCGCCTGCAATGCTTTTGGGTCACTGCGTGTGAGACGCTGCATGTAGGCATTTAAGTGTGCCGTTTAGTCAGCGTGTGTGTGTGTGTGAGGATTCAGAGGAGGGAGAGGGCCATCATGACCACAAGTGATGAGTGATGCCAGAGGTGGTTCAACTACCATCCTCTTTGCAGGCTTGCTGGCTCACTAATGGCCTCTGACGTGGGCTGGGTGAGCGACTCGCAGCCTCTCGGTGGGTCCTGCTCTTCCTTATTTGGTATCCAAGCTTGGGGGAGGGAGGTGGCTGGGCAGTGGACGGAGAGGGGGGAGCAGACACTCCATGTTTACATTCAAGATCAGGAGGTCGATGCACCAGAGTGCCATGGAGCAAACACAGATCACTCGAAGACAGTGAGAGAGCAGCAGAGTCATCTCTTTATGACTGCCAACTAAATAAAAGGCACACGTTCACCTTGGGATTTATGTTTGTGTACATTATTTAATGAGGGGAAAAAAAATCGATGTCTTCAGGTAATTTCCACACACAAAGACACCAACCTTCCCTTTCTGTCCTACTCTCTTGCACTGGAGACATCTGAGGGAAGACTATAAAGAGAAGAACCTAACGCCAACCGCCCTTGCAGTCGTGCTCATCCCTGCTCGACTGACTGTGTGCTCATCCACATGTCTGAGTTCCCTGGACAGTGTTTATGCTGTACCCTGTCCGGGACAGAATAGATTCACCCACACAGCATTGTGCTCTCATCCAGAACCTGAGAGGGACTGGCAAGCCTGAGCCGCGGTGCTATTCACTCTCACTCCTCTGGATTTGGCAGCATGGCCTGGAGCCATACAGCAATGACTGCAATAATAGAGCCAAGATAGCATCTCTCTATCCCACCCTGAAAATATACACAGTATATCCTTGTCTTTTTAGGACACATGGTTTGTTTTAAACATCAGTTTCCTAAGTGTTTCTTGCATGACTTTGCAAAACTGTGAGAAAAGAACAAGCAAAAACTTTTTTTTTCTATTCCTCCAAGTCCTGGAACGACCCGTGCTGACAAAAACACAAGAATTTGCTTTTAAGTACAGCGCCAATAGGTATTTTATCTTGCAACATCAAAGAAATGCCTAACGTAGTAACGAACGCATGAATGTAGCACATTTGTTCTTGTCAATTAACTTGTTTCTCTATGATGTATTTTACAGATCTTCTTATACAGTGAGCAGTAAGGACGCTGCTGTAAAGTGACGGCAGCTTGTGGGGAACATTATCCCGCCTGTCAGCCTCCCAGTGCCGCACTACGGATAACAGTCCTCGGTGAGAACACACTGCCTCTCGACACCAGCTGTAAAGATTAGCAGAGCTTTGTTTAATTGTACCGTCAACGTCCTGGGAGCCACTAAAAGGCTACTGCTCTCCTTTACATAGAGTTTTGCCTCTGATTCTCAGCCAACAGTTGCTGCAGACGGTTCGTTTAGATCGCAAGGACATAGGCAAGAAAAGTACTGAGGAACTTGGTCTTATGAGCTGAGACGAACCAAAACAAACGTAGTACATTTTACAAAGAAATCGATTTTTTTTTTGTAGTAGTAGTAGGCAAATACTCCTGGCTAATGTTTTGAAACAGGACATATTAAACTTAACTGTTATTTTTTTTGCAAACCTTTGCCCCTGATTCCCAACCACTGTCCCTTGGAAAATCATCTATTTTCACTTCGCTCTCGATTATCTAAATCAATTATTTACTTCCAAACTATTTATTTAATTCTAAAATTTGACTGTTCACTTTTTAGGGGCTGTGACTCATCCAAACAAACATTTAACAACAACAACAAAAAAGCATTAACATAAAGTTTTGTTTTTTCTCCTTTCATACACATCCATCTATTTTTATTGTGTTTGTTTACCGTCATTGGTAAAACCAAACACCCAGGGCTGATTATTTGTCAGAGAGTGAGACACACCGCTGCTGTATGAAGACAAATATTTATTTTTACCTTCAGTCTCATCAAAATGTGAGAAACGTCTCAGTTTCAGGCTCCAGCCTCATTTTTCGTCGGCGCAGTGTCATTACTGATGACAATTTAATAAGCAATATCTTTAGTCGTTTATTTTGATGTCACGTTAATGCACCATTTTTAGTTCTTATCTTTACATTACATGAACATTTTATGTGTTTATTCAGTATTTATATTCAGCCCTTTGTTCTTAAAGTTGTCCAAATTACAGGCTAACTGTTACGCCAGCTAATTTATTTACCGATTTTATTTGCTGTTTTTCTTGCTCATTTTTTTTATCGCAGCTGACTACCAGACTAAATTTTTATTCCTGTTCCGGCTAAAGTTGATTTGGATGATTCATACAAAGATAAGTGATGTGACTTCAGACAAATGGCATTTTAATTGCTTAGAAAGATGACGGCTTAAGTGTATTTTATGTTTAAATAAACTTTTTTCATAAGAGGAGGGATAAATCCTGGAAATGAGTATGAGAATTTAGCACATTCAGCGAGAAGAGTTTTAAAAAGCCATATCCTGTTGCTTGTGCATAATGACACACTGTCAGGAAATAAAAAGCCATCAGTGATAATGTGGACGCCTGGTTATCCTCCCTCAGTTTCTACCTGGGTGAGTTTACAGTGGTGATGCTCGATGCTGCTTCACCTCTCTCCAACATTTCTGTTTCAAATGACGTAGGTTACCGAGGCCCCTCTTTCACCGTGGCTCAGTATGCTAAGTACAGCTGTTCATATGAGGATGGCAGCCCCCGGCGGCAAGGTGAGAAGAGGCGGGCGTCCCTATTCCACATGGAGAGAGGTCTCCAATTCCTGCGTGTCGGCTGCTCCGCCAGCAGCACTAATGATCTCGTGATGATATGGAAATGAGAATTTTTTCACACCGTACACCGTGGCAGCGGAGTCAAGTATGGTTATTTCAGCTCAGAATTAACTCTGGGTGGTGAGTGAAACAGTAGAGGAGTGGTGGCTGCTGGTCCGAGAAACAAGAGGAGCTCATGTTAGGCCCGGTCATTTAAATATAACAGCTACCATATGTAATCTTAGTCTACTGCTTTACACATTGACTTCTTATTCCTGGCTGGAATTATTGGTGTATTTTTGGTTATTTTTACTGGAGTCGGTGAGTTGTTTTTCATCACTGCTTTACACATTGACTTCTTATTCCGGGCTGGAATTATTGGTGTATTGTTATTTTTGGTTATTTTTACTGTAGCCGGTGAGTTGTTTTTCATTGCAGTGTTTTGCAATAACAACAAAAGCTACAAGAGCTATCCAATTCAATTCTGTTTTATTTTATTCTATTCCGTATCACGTCAGGTCACTAAGCTCTTGCTAACTTCCAAACACTGCATAGAATTCACAACAAATGTTTCTATGCATTTCTAAAGGCCCTGTCATTAAAAATAATTGAACTCATTTTGTCCAATCATCACGCAGATGCTCATGTTCCAAGCCCACCCGATGCTGATCGACTGCCACTTCAACTTTTGTGTTGCATTTTGCTTCATTTATTCATCATCACCGAGCTCACTGAGCCTGATCAAAGCTGAGCCTCAACGGGGTTTAATACACTCTACTGCTGCAGGGATGTACAGGAAGAACATCACATCAGCTCTGTCATGAATAAATAAATGATTACATACTAACTAGCTGATCACATTTGAATGCTTGTATTAAAAAGGAAAGTAAAACAAAGTGTGTATATTTGATGATTTATATCTGTATTTATTTTAAAAACCACAGCTTGAGCCACTCAGGTCTATTGCTGTGCCTGACTCTACTGCAAATAATTTAATTTCTACATTTTCCCTTTGTCTCGTCTTGTCTTCGAATCTCTCGTTTCACCCGTGTCGTTTCAGTTTGTGTGGACACTGCACCAAAGTCCAGCCTACAAAGCTGATGATAGGTGATGATGGTCTGTGATAATAACTGTTTTCCCGATATCGTACTGTAGTCGTCTGCTTCCTCTGCTGCTTAGTTTACAGCCTGCCATCTCTAAACTGCATCCTGTCGAAGCCCCTGCTGCTGCTTTTATCTCATGATTATAACAACAACACGAAGAAGAGATAAGAAAACACAGGAAGTCATTTATTTGTCTGGAGTAGCAGGAAAAGTGTGGTAAAACTTTACTGGTCAGTTTTTTCCCCACTGAAACAGACCCTCAAAAATCTGTGTGTTCCTTTGAATAAAGTTCTCCCCACTGAAACAGACCCTCAAAAATCCCTCAGTGTGTTCCTTTGAATAAAGTTTACGCTGATTCAGACTATAATTAAACAAATCCCCTGTTCATCGCCAGGCCCTATAATTTACTGCTTTTTTCAAACAAACGAAGTGAAGTTATAATTTCAGACTGTAGGCTGAGCTGTTTTTACAGGTTGATTATAGTTGTACTTAATGCAGCAGCGACGGGCGACAAAATGTGCAGCAACAAAATCAGTGGTTGGGTTCGTGTGGCTGAGCTAGAGTAAACAATTATACTTTGTCGGAGAGCCAGAACTTTTCTGGATGAACACCTTGTGGGCTGGGCACTCAAAAAAATTACATTACATTACATTCATGTCTAACATTATTATTTGATGTTTATTTTGAAATCCAGTTGTGGGCCGCATTGGATGGATTTTGAGGGCCAGATTTAGCCCGCAGGCCACGAGTTGATGATCAAAGATTTATACCTTTAATTACCTCAAATGTCCATACAGATAATTATGATGGCAGCTCAGCCTGTTGTATGTGGAAACCATTGTCTAATTGCGTTTTATTTATTAGTAAATTAATTTAAATAAACACACTTACAATCTTTTTAGAAAATATCTGATCACTGATCACTCAGGATTATGTAAGTATTAAGACCTGTTCTGGAGAGCGCTGCTAAAACGACGTAGCGCTGTGCAGAGCTCTTCAGAAGGGGACGGGGAGTCTACTTACCGCTGGGTTGTTTTCAAGAACCTGTCACTTCATATCTTCTTTTTTTCTTTCTTCCTTCTTCTCTTCTCCTTCTTTATCAGTCACTGGTACCTGTAGAGAAGACGGTGAAATCAGGGGGAAGGGAGAGAGGAGAAGGAGAGGGAGAAAAGGAAGGAAAATGAAGGAGAAACATTAATGAAAGGAACTTTTAAATGAACTGCCTCCGTCAGTGTGATTCGACAAACGCTGACTCTCTCTCCCTATGTGTCTCTCTATCTCTTACCCTCTCTCTCTCTCTTTCTACTTGGCCTTTGTGACCACACAGGACGACGGTTCTCGGGCAAAGAGGAGGCTTGCCACTGATTGCCTGAGAGCAGTGAAGAGCAAATCTGCATGAAATCCCTCTTGGCTTTTTTGATTATTTTCATCCTCCACACCTTTAACGAGCTCCTCCATCTGAAACAGACCCACTGTTTCAGATGGATCGTATGTACGCATACGTTTGCAGACGAGAGTGTATGTGTGTGTGTGTGTGTGTGTCAATCTGTGAGTGTTCCTTTAACCATGTGTAAACCGTAAACAGATTCTTTTACGCCGGTACGCGACACCTCTTGGTCACATCTGGAGGCCGTGGCGTCTGCTGCCTCTCACGCTCACTCAATATTCAGTCAATAACCGCGGTCTGCAGCGGTGGGCTGCCGTGAATCCACCCTGAGGAGTTTCTACGGAGTTGCTGAGGAAGGTTATCTCCACTCAAAGGTCAGAGGAGCTCATCATTACCCAGCGTCCAGAGTCTCCTTCAAGATAACGATATTAATATCACGGCTGGAATGAGTGATAGCGCCGTGATCGATTAGTATGAACAGCCTGCAGAGGCCTGTGTTGGTGAGCGGACGCTGCGCGGCTTGATTAGATAATGTTAATAAATGGAGTTTTGTGCGAACAATTCTGAAAACTCATAACCATCACCTCACTGTTCTGAAGACACCTGCGGCTGCTGGAATCATTTCCAAGGTATTATTTCATATTCACCACCATTTGTTTTTAGTTTTTTTGCCTTTTGGTCAGTTTTGTCTTTTTAATTTGCACATTTTAAATAGACTGCTCTTATATTTGGACATTAATATAAATGAGCATAAACTCATAAACTCAAAATTGCACCAGCTTGGAGTAATGTTGAAGTGTATTTCTACATCCACCACGATGATTCAAATATGTTTTATTTGAGATTTTATCTTTGTTTTCATAATGTTTTCAGCTGTGGGCATACTGTTCCCAGGACGTTGACTAAAGAGGCTCGAGAAGAACTTTCTGTTTTTAAATTAAACTGATAATTACTGTATTCATTTTATTTATCTTATACTGCTTAATTAATTATAGGGTGGCTAGGGCAGTTGAAGCCTGGGTGAGGGCGGGGTTATGCCCATATAGAAAGACAATCAGACACCAGGGCCAGAGGCAAAAGTTAGAACAACCACATCTGCTGAGTGGTCCTGTCAGAGATGATAAATGAAATGATTGAAGTATTTATCAAGTAAATTGCCTAAATCTGAAAAGTACTATACCAAGTCATGTTTACAGTTTACATTTATAGCCACCAAACCTCCAAATGGTTTCAAGACTTTCAAATATTTTTTTTTACTTCCCCAAAAATTACGGCTGAAGATCACGGAGAAAAAAAAACATTAACTGGCCACAGACTCCCAGCATCCTCTACGGACGTGATTACCTCGAAGGTCAAACTGATTCTTCATACTGACAAAGCACTGAGGTCAGTGAGGCCCTTACTGTCCAATCAGTGTCAACTAACACCATGGCTGCAAAAGGATCTGCAGCTGAAAAGAAAGAAACAAAAAGTAGAGGACAGAGAGGAGGTGAGGGAGCGGGTGTGTGGAAAAATACTGTGTGGAACCGATTTTGAACCGACTGATTGAAAGTTTGTGATAACAGAAAAAAAAAGAGTCTTAATTAATGGTGTTTATGAACATGCGTGAGCCTGTGTGCCAGTGTGAAAATTGAAGGAGGGACTTGATGCCAATTCTGCCACACTCCCACATGCCTGACTGCCAAGACAAGCGAGGAGGAATCTGTTTAATGTACAGCATTTATTCACAGCACACACGCTGTTGCACTACCGCTTCCTCTGTCGCATGAGACACTCCCTTAACACGGCAAGTCGCCATTAATCAGACTGAATAAAGAGGTAGCGCGGAAGCTAAAACTTATCCAAAGTCAACATCTGCGATAGTGGATATTGAGCCAATGCATCCTCGCTCTCGCACTCAGGCGTTCAGGTAAAAGCTCAAACTCCATTAGAGCAGTGTTTCTGTGGAGAGTTGGTGAAGATATGCTCCGTCCACTCATGTGTAAAGAAAGCTCCAGGTTTGTTTTCTCTTGACCCTGCACCATATTGGCATCGGGTTTAGTCACCGTGCTGGGACAGATGGCCGAGCATCATGGTGCATGACAAACTGGGAAATGAAAACATGCCTGCACAGAAATGGGTACGTGTATATTCTCTCCAGCAACACGACAGAAAATGACTGGAATTTCAGAGCAAAAGTGAAGGGAACCGACTCGAACTCTACAGACTGGGCACAGACGTGACGAGCAGTCGAAAAACAAGGCCGACCTGTTCTGTCCAAAACTGTCAACATGAGTAAAGAGAGCAGTTGGATTATGAAAATAAAATAAATTACATAATTTAATCCTTATTTTCTCTTTGGGAATAGAATTCATGCCGAATTCTACAAAAAAGGAATTCTCATGGCTTGTAAATTTTCAGACTGAAATAGAAGAAACTTGAAACTGTCTTATTATCAGACATTCTTTTAGTTTTTTCATTTCATGCAACATCTTATTTCTTACATTTTACAAATAATTGACTAAGGAGAAGAAGTGATTTTACTAGGTGACAACGACAGAGAAACAAATAAAGTCCAAGAAGGAGAAGGGTAGCAGGGTGGAAAGACAGTAAAATATTCAGTCTAGGTATTCTATTCTTTTCTTAAAATAAAAAAAGAAAAAAGCCAACAGGAGGAGTTCATGTCGATACAACCTGACTAAACTTTCGATCATTTCAGCATTTCTGTACCAAAGGCAGGGTTGATGATGATGTTAAGTGAGAGAAGGAAGATAAATTGGACAAGGGATGTCAGAGATGAAGCTGCCAGACAGGTGGAAAAGAGGAAAACCCCTGAGAGGATTTATGGATGTAGTGAAGTAAGACATGAAGATGGTTGATCAGATGGAGACAGATCATTTGCCATGGGGAGGAGATGAAAGTAGACCATGAAAATGATATTTAAAGAAAGGCAGGGAGAGGATTCCAAAACATGAATTAAGCCGTCAAGTTATTGGAAAAGCACACTTTCTTTGTTTTCATACTTGATATTATGTAACATTGATTTTTCTCTCAGTTACAGTACACCACCGAGCAGACGCTCACTCTCTGTTTTACTCCCTTTAACATTCCTGACCTGAGCAAGAAGACACTGATAGAATGGATTAAACCGATCACTGGGACCATGTAACACTTATAGTTTGCAGGATTCCTAAATGTTAAGGCATGCTAACCTTTATGAAACAGCGGTGCTGAAGCCTTTTCAAAGAAGGCATGTAGCACAAAAAGGCCGGTCTGCAGGTCGGCTGATGAAGTGTCAACGTAAATGTCATAGAATGTAGTCGGACGGCGTGTCTGTGCTTTTCAGGTATTTGTCATGACCTTGAAAACATCTCCGTCTGATTGCACTCGGTCGGCTCGCCTGGATGAAGATGAATACGGGAGAAAAAAATTATAGATAAAAAAGGGAAAATTCACTCAAATGGAGAAGACGGTTTCCACTAACAGCCGTTTCATTAGACTCTCAGCTGCTTTGGGCTCTGATGAGTCCATAATCATGACACGTAATGAATGTCATTTAGTCTTTATAATCTATTCCAATTAACTACAGATGATATTCAGAGCAACAGAAGACTCTGTCTGGATTACCAATGTGTTTTACTAATGTATGCTCTCCATAACAATATATCATTTTAACAGTTTAACAGGTTACTGTAAAGACGTCATTAACATTTAGTTTACGGTTCACGTGTTATAAGCTGCTCGTCATCGTCGAGTTAATAATTCCACTGTTTGGCTAAGTAGGTCAAGCTAAACTTAACAAGCTAACAAAGAGCAGAGCCAGTGATGCTGTCACTGTTCTTGGAAAAAGGAGGAAAGGAGCTCTACATTTTCTGATGGAAATCCAAATGAGTCAGTCTAGGAGCAATTTTGGCCTACTTATTACATTTGCCCTGCAGAGGCGCTACAACAGAACTGTAATTACACCAATTCTTTGAACAGCTTTTATTCAATTTTTTTTATGAACTAATAGAAGTACATATGTTCATTTGTGTATTCGCCAATACTGACTGAGAATTTGTCTGAAGTATCTGATACTAGTTTGGCGTTTCTCCTACTAATTCCTGTTCGATGACAGGAAGTCAGCTGGTGCTGCACAGATCGACTAAACAGCTGCTCCGTCACACTCCTCTACACTTCCAACAATGTTGGGACAAAACCAAAAAAAAAAAAAAAGGGAGAGAGAAGCTACCAAAAAAAAAAAAAAAGAGAGAGAGAAGCTATATTTTAAAGATGCTAGGCTAATCCTGCTTCTTCACAGTAAGTACAAACTCTCTGCTGATACTGCACTTCCTGTGACTTTAAATCATAGTTTGTAAAAAGGACAACTTAATGAAAAAAACCCAGCACTTTCTATGTCTGTGTTGTCTGTTGTATTATATAATGGCTGAGGAACTGTACATTCCTGCATGTGCTTTGAGTGTGTGTGTATGTGTGTGTGTGTGTGTTTCTTTAATGGTGAGTGTGTCTGCCTATCGGCCTGCGATGTGAGGTGACTGATATTCAATTAGTCCACCTGCCTCCTCTACACATCCTGGTATTTCAGTGCTTAGTAAATCAGCTCAGTGTGCAGCACACAGGTCGATATTAATATTAATGCCTCCATAAATAATGTTATTGTAGGCTCTGGTGTTAATGGTTCATGATATGATGAGCATGATAAAATAGAGTGCTGCCTCTATTGTGATGGTGGAGGGATTTAACAAGG